TCGAGGTACTGCGCCCAATTCGTCCGATTCGCCTTTCTTTGGCTGCTGACAAGCGAATGCTGAATGCAAAAAATTGAACCCAGAAGTAAAGATTGCGAAAGAAAAGCTGCTGATCAAGATACGGCCGCGTAATAGGACAGAAGCGCGTGCGTCTGCGGAACAGCTTCGACTCAGTAACTCATGACACACGTGGAGCTAAACTTTCCAATAAGGCAATTGAGTCGATAACCCGGACTGCACGCTTGACTGTCACTTATCGTGACTGCGCCTTGCTCGACGTGTACCTATACGGATCTAGTGACCCAGCTCAACCCACCTCTGTTCATACAGCAAACTCCGATCGGATGCGGATTCGTGTCAAGACCTTGTCCTTGCCAGAATTTGCTATTATCAATGCAGTCATAAAGATCAGACACGTCTCTCGGAATGGAGTCTTCCACCTAAAAAAATGCAAGCGTGATATGTTGGGATAATTCAACAAGTCACAGACACAGAGGCAATCTCTGGTCGTCAGGCGCTCGCAGAATGAAGGTTATTGCTGCGTGAGCTTACCGTTCCTCGTACAGCGCACTTGAAGTCGTGGGCCCGAGAAAGAAGCAGTTCCTCCGTCGATGGGACTGTGGCCGCTTGCGGATTGCAGGTCGCTATGCTAACCGCGTTCTTTGCTGCAACAAAAAAAGTAGGCTAGTTCAGAAAGGTGTAGGTTGGTAGCCAAGTGACATCGCTTTCTAGGCATCACATTACTTTAAGGACTCCAAGCCTTTTATTTGTGTGCTTCAGGATGGACTCTATCCACTAATTAAGATGTTTTCAATCTCCAGTTTGAAAGGTCTCATTTAAATCGACCCAAAAATTCATATTAGGTTAAGGCTTACCCGATGGAGCCGGCAGTACAACCAGTGCTGCAGCAGAATCTGGCGGTGGGAGTGACGGAAGTGGACATGATGGCTCCGTCGAACTCGACCAGATGCAAAGAGTGCCGTCCCTTGAAAATTCGCATCAGGATATTCTCCATTTGGACACAATACTCACAGCCAAGCTATGTCGTTCAACCGACAAAGTAACTCAAAGGGGTAGGAAGCTTTGGTAGGCTAGCGAGATTCGATGGTCAGGATTTTGATCCTCTGACCGCGCCGCGATGTAAGGGGAGCCTCTTGCGTTGGGATGATAAACTCCACACTAGCAGCGTTGATGAGACGAGAAAGCATAGTTATCATATACCGTTCACATGGCTAAACGTTACCTAAGGTATTGGAAAGGGGCCGTTATGAGTAAAAGGAAGGCAGAAAGAAGAACTGAGGCGTGGTGGAATTGCGAAGTAGCAAGTGACGATGCAGATCGAGCACGGCTCGCGATGGAATCCTATTAGTGCCCATGACCAAACCAAGCCTCTCATTCCAAATGCTTGGGCAGTTCGTTACCAGTATGTTGTTTGGAGGATAAAACGATATCGACAGCCTCCAGAAGCCAATGTATAGCCAAGCGCATTCAATAGGACTACGATCACGAGTGGAAGAGGAGGGTTCTGTCTCTTCAGAGCTTTATCATATGGTCACAACCTTGTCTTGACAGCGGCCATATCAAGGCTGGGACAATGACATTGCCCATTCTTGCAGAAGGCGTCTGGCCATACAGCTGAGCACTGGACATCATAGAAGCAACCGGATTCGGACGGTGAGATGCCTGAAAGCGATCAGTATCTTGCTCTGGCGAGCACGAAAATACCCCAGCGATGACTTACGTTCGTAGCAGTACGCATCAACAGCGATGTACGTGGACAAGCATCGACACTGTCCGATGGCGCAGTACATCCCGCTAAGGCAGTCGGTGTTGAACGAGCACACGTCACCTACTCGACCGGAACCTGAACTTTCTATCTCTTTTACACTCCTTCTGGCTCATCGGATTCCCACTTTCACTGACTCAGTGTTGAGACGCACCTACGCAAAATCCATTCTGTGAAGTAGGTTGAAGAAAAGCAGATCAAATTTCACCTTCATTTCAAAGACTTATATTTTGGTTACAAAAAGATCCTATTGTGAGCGCTGTAGCGAATTTTCTATTCTTGGACCTAGAACTGAGGTGGCTGCGAGTCAAAAAAGTTAGCGATGTCATTTTCTATTCTTAGCGGTCTGTCTTTTTTAGCGAAGGTAATATTGAGCGCACAAATCAGATGCCGTGCTGCGAATGAGCTAGATCTAGCGAATACACTCGGAACAGGGTATCCCGTTCGAGTTCTCCAATGTTGTGCGGCTGTAGTCATTCAAAGATTGCGCCCTTTGTTTACAGATGGCAGAGAGGCCTTCATAAAGACATAAAGGTATGAAATGAATAAGAGTGGAAAGTGCGAAAGTGTCGAAAGTAGCCCGTGGCGCTCGGGTACCAACTGATCCAAATACTTCACAACCCTCGATAATTATGCTCCCTACCTACTTCCAAACGTTGGATACACAGCGTTGCTGATTTTACAAATATCTAGCAAAAGACACCATCATGCGACCTTGGAGCTCTGCAGGTGCGGGCACAATGAGGCAGGCAGCAGCCTGGCTCCCATTGAGGATGTTGTTGATGCCCATAGTCAATTTTAGTTGTCCACTAGAAGTTTGAAATGACACTTGCCTGATGTGCCTTGAGCATGAAACGTCATCGTCGCTGGATCGATGCACTCCATTAGGGTCGCGCTGAAGTGCGTTCGTGAACCATCGGAGCACGTCTTCTGCCTGTATACTCCTTCGGCACAGGTCAAGTACGAGGCAGAGTCTGCACCGATGAGTCTGAAAATTTAGTAGTTCTGCAAAGACGTGAACACTTCGATAGCGTGCTGCTAGATACTGGAGCCGCACGACATTCCGGCAGGTGGAACCTGAAGTGAAGTGGAAGTGGCCCTATGACCCATGTTCAATTCCTTTCGATGCAGGGGAGTGCAAAAACTACCGGGATCTTAAATGGTTGCTCATAGAAATTGATGATAATTCTCCTAAACAGGTCTGGTACCAATTAGAAGCGGAGTTAACAACATAAGACAGTCCAAAAGAAATCAAGGTCAAAGTGGTCAGTGGTGCAGGGACGATGAAAAAAAAACATGAAAACGACCCAGAACCCGAGAAAGACCCCTTCTTTGCCGTTGATTTCCGCATTGATGCGACTCTCATCGGTGCTGCCCTCTTCAACGCTAACGCTCTCTCTGCAAACGGCTAGAGTCAGACGGAGAAGGGTCACCCATCGGCGGGCGTGCAGAGGCACGAACTGCGCGGGTACGGCTCTGCTAGGCCGCTGGGGGCATACTCTTTTTCACCCGGTGTATTGCCCTTCTTCCTCCTCCGACCTTATCGTGTAATCCTCTTTCATTTGACCTATACAGGAGAAGTGGAAATTTGGTTATGCTATAAGGCATAGATCCCAAAATTGACGACCAGTAAGTTTGTCACTTCCCAGCTATACGTATTAAAAAGCTTAAAAACGACCTACTTTGTCCTTGGATTGCAGAAGTAAAACAGATGTCTGCTGACATCGCCACTACAGTTAGCACCGATAGCCGTTCGGATAGTACAGCTATCGCATGGGTCATCCACAGAGCACCATCGGGTCGATGGAGAACCTGAAAACCTTTTTTCCGGAACAAGTGATGAAATTACTGTGCTGGTCAATAGGGTACAAAGCAAAACCCATTTAGCCCTTCTCAGTCAATGAAAAATGTTGCCCGTTTTTTCATGCAGTTTGCCTCATGTGGAAATACTTTATCAAACTAGTCACCCTGAGCTCGCCCTAGAGCTAGGTTGATTGTGCAAGAATCCACGCCCTCCCATCCTGGGTCTCACCACCCGTCCAATCTTGGCCCTATCTTTGAGCTAACCGTCTTTGATATTCGAC